TATTTATTTATTTATTTATTTATTTATTTATTTATTTATTTATTTATGCGGTATTCTGCCTGCATGTATGCCAGATCTCATTGTAGATGGTTGTGAACCACCATGTGGCTGCTGGGAATTGAATTTAGGACCTTTGGAAGAACAGCCAGTGCTCTTAACCTCTGAGCCATCTCTCCAGCCCCCTTTATTTTCATTTTAAACATTGGGCTTCTTTCAGACTATATATAATTGGTTCCCTCCCTCATTGAGAATAAAGTCTTACTCTGTAACCCAAGCTGGCCTTGAACTCTCACTAATCCTCCTCCATTGGTCTCCCAAGTTCTGAGATTACACATGTGAACCACTGTACCTCTATCTTAAACTTAATTTGATAGTCTCTGTGATTTTATTGGGGTGAGGGGTTAGACTGTTTACATTTTGTATACATAGTATACAAATGTATACAGTGGTCTATCTAAGTTCTCTATAATCTTTAGTTGTTTTGTATTCCATTTATTCCTGGTTGTGCCCTCATTGTTTTAGAATGTATTTTATTCTTTGTTACACCTTCCTTGTTTTAGAATGTATTTTATTTGTTTCATATTATTCACATTCCTATTCATAGTCATGCTGACTTATTGTACTTATTGTTGTAACTTAGTGTTCTTCTTAGCATTTAGAATATTTGTTTTTATCAGCTCAACATTAAATAGTACTTCAAATTAAATGACTTCCTGTATAATGTGAAAATTTTACACTGTACATTGAATACCTTTCTAGCCCCTGTGCTGTGCATTTATCTTTAAAATATTAAAACTCCTCAGTAATATTATTATTAATATTTTGCTTCAGAGTCAACTTGTTCTTTAAAAAGCCAGACTAAATATTTTAGACTTTGGACCATGTGATTTCTGTCACAAACACTCAGCTCTGTTTTTGGGATGAGAAAGCAGTCATTGGCAAGGTGTCCAGGAGTGAGCATAGCTGTGTTCCAGTAAAACTTACCACATCATAGTTAGAATTTTGTAGAATTTTTAGATCATAAAAATAGTATTATTATTTTGATTTATTTTGATCCATGTAAAACCATTTAAAAAAACTTTAAAAGCTGTCACTATAACACATGCCTCTAGTTGCAGCTACTCTGGGGACTTAGGCAGAAAGAGTGAACCTAGAAGTTCTAGAAAACCCTGGCAACATAGCCAGGCTTGCTGTCAAAACCAAACCCAAACAAAGAAACAAAAGCCAGGGTTACCTCCCAAGCCATAGGAAGCCACCCAGCAGACCATTTTTAGCTAAAAGGCCATAATTTGTTGAATCTTGCTTTGGCTGACTAAAGATAAGGGAAACATAGCTTCTAAATTTACCCCCTTTCTCCTTTTTCGGCACTCTTTATTTCTTTTTATAGACCTGAGCTTTTGTCTCATGTCACCTTCTTTCTTGCTGAGGGATGACCTTTCTCACAGTCTGTGTCTGACTCTTTCATTGCCACAGCTGAGAACCGGTGTCTGTGGGTCCAGCATGCTGGCTTGACAGATGTATGATTTATCCGGCTTTTTTTGCTTTAAGATGGCAATGGCTCTGTCCTTCTGGTTCTGTATCTGAGGTAAAGTCACTGGCAGGCTTTTGAAGAGCAGTGTGACAATGTGAGGTGGCATGGCATCTCTAAGTGTATCCAGGGCTGCAAGTAGACTTTCCAGTCAGGGCTCCAGCTTGTATCACACAGGAGCCAGTTGCTGAGAGGCAGGGCAGCTTTTGTTCTCATTATTTCCTCCTCAGAAATAATGTAACGAAGATCATTGTATCATCTCCTTACTACAGGGTACAAGCTGTTTCCTCCGCTGGATCAGGAACCTGGATGATGAGCTGCATGCTATTGTGGCTGGTAATTTAGTAATCAAAAGAATGTCCATTGTTGTAGCATTGGTAGTGGGATGAAGTGAGAGCCTGCAGAGGCGTCCAGTTTTTGTTTCTTCTGCATGGTAATTGAGTCCCTGTAGAGGCACTCACCAGTGTGTGAAGTTAAATGGGTTGAGACAGGCTTGCTGTCTGCTACTCTGAGTTGGCAGTGTAATAACTGAAGTTGTCATCATTGCCAGAAATCTTAGAGGATGTGTTATAAAAGAACACAAAGACTTAAACAGTTATAAAAGTTATTATCATGAACCCCAGTTAGAATTCTTCAAAGACCTATTTTTACCACTGGAAAATGGCTCTTAAATTATTTAAAGTTTATAATATTTATAAATTATTTTATAAAAGTAAACATGATTGGAGGGAATGAGGGATGGGCTATAGCTGGGCTACAAAGTGAATGAACTGTAATTGATATTAAAATAAATAAATGAATAATGTGAAAATGAAAGATTGTTTTCTAAGGTATAGTGTATGTACTAAAGTTAACCAAGTCTCTAGGATTCCAGCCCCAGCCTCTTAATTTCCCACTAGTACAATGAAGGTGATTCTGTGGACAATAGCATAGTGACCACACTGACAGTAGCCTGAGCTGTTATGAAGATAGATAAATGAGTAGTTGATGATACCAGTAGTGTTCAAATTTATTTTTAAAAGTAGTGTCTGGCAAGCCTACTATAGTTCTTTAAGTTAGGCCTTCTTGTTATGTGTAACTCACACTATTTGCTCTGAACCCTGAAGAGCTTTCTTTTTAATTTAAAAACATGGATGAATGTCTTATTCCACTTTAGTGTCATTGGGCTTATACTGTCCTTATGTTTTGTCCAACTAAAGAAAGGCAATGCTAAAACCTTTTTCCCCCTTTTAAGTGAATTAACATTTCTGGTGACTTACCCACAAAGAAATAATTTGCAATCTGATCAGTTTTTCCTTTTTGTTTCAGGGTTTTTGGCAGGTGTATCAATGATGTTTTACAAAAGCACAACTATTTCCATGTACCTAGCTTCCAAATTGGTGGAGGTAAGCACAGATGTTATGCATGAGAAGTTCCCAAGGATACACAGCTTCTGGAGGTGCTGTGTAACTGCTTTGGCCGCAAACAGAAACTGCTGCCAAGCTCTGGTTCTAGCCAGGTACTGACAGTCGGTTTGCTGTTCGTTCTTTTCTTTCGTATGTCTGATATTGACACATGACAGTCCACCATGTACGTCAGTGCTCGTCAACATCTAGACAGTATCTTTTCATCTGTACTCTACCATCCTACATATCATACTGTGTCCTTTTACTGTATAAACTCAGGATTAATACTTCTTTAAAGAAAATCAATAGTACTATCAAAGTATGGTCACATATCATTTTATGCATTTGAAAAGCCTATGGCAGATTCCCTGAGTATCTCATGTGTTTGTACAGTCCTCTATTTGGGCCATGAACAGCCTGTTTTAATTTATATAGTTGCTCCCTTTTCTTCTTCCTCTTCCTCCCCTGTTTCCTTTCTTTGATGTTTAACTCCTGTTTTTCCTGTAAACTATTGATTAGATTCAAGGCCAAATACATCCTTTGACATAAGATGAAACTAGTATTGAGATGTCATCCAAGCAGTCTAATGTCCCGAGTATACGCTCTGTTTGGTGGTTCAATCTCTGTGGGCCCCTATGTGCCCAGGTTAGTTGGTTCTATTTGTTTTCTTGTTGTGTCCGTGACCTCACTGGCTCCTTCAGTCCTTCATCCCTTCTTCCTTTGAATTCCCCAAGCTACTCCTAATGTTTGGCTGTGGGTCTCTGCTTCTCTTTCCATCAGTTGCTAGGTGAAGCCTCTCAGGTGGCAGTTATGCTAGACACCTGTCTGGAAATATAGCAGAATATCATTAATAGTGTCATGACGTTCTCTTATGGCATAAGTCTAAAGCTAGGCCAGTCATTGGTTGGCCACTCCCTTAATTTCTGCTCCATATTTACTCTTGCATATCTTGTTGGCAGGAGAAATTGTGAGTGGAAGGTTTTGTGGCTAGATTGGTGTCCCAATACCTCCATTGGAATTTTCTGGTTACAGGAGATGGCTGGTTCAGGCTGCATATCTCTCATTGGTAGGAATCTTAATTGGGGTCACCCTCCCTGATTCCTAGGAGTTTCCATTTCCGTAGGCTTCTAGCTCATCCTATAATTGGCCCCCCTTACCAATTCTAGTTCTCTTTCCCCTACTGTCTCCTTCTATCCTTCCACTTGATCCCTACAGCTCCTCTACCCATCCTTCCTGTTCCCTCCCTCAACCCACCCCAAAGTCTGTTCTAGTTCCTCGTCTCAATGTGATTCAGTGGTCCCCTTACCTCCACTTCTTTTTTTTTTTTTTTACATTTTTTTTTATTTTATTTTTCTTTTTAGTTACATTTTGTTAACTCTGTGTCCCAGCTGTATCCCGCTCCCTCATTCCCTCCCCAACCCCACACTCCCTCCCTGGTCTCCTCCCTGCCCCTTTCCAAGTCCACTGATAGGGGAGGACCTCCTCCCCTTTCATCTGACCCTGTTTTATCAGGTATCTTCAGGGCTGGCTGCAAAGTTCTCCTCTGTGGCCTAACAGACTGCTCCTCCCCTGGGGGGTGGGGGGGTCAAACGGCCTGCCCTTGAGATCCTGTTAGAAATAGTCCGTGTTCCCCTTACTTTGGAAAACTACTTGGTTACTGAGCTACCACAGGCCACATCCAAGCAGAAGTTCTAGGTTATATCCATAGATGGTCCTTGGTTGAGTGTCAGTCTCAGAAAAGACCCTGTGCCCAGATATATTTGGTCCTTGTAGAACTCCTATCCTTTCCATATCATACTAACTTCCCTTCTTTCATATGATTCCCTGCACTCTGCCGAGGGTTTGGTTATGAGTCTTAGTGTCTGCTTTGAAACACTGCTAGGTAGAGTCTTTCAGATGCCTTTTGTGGTAGACTCCTGTCATAAGTTCAATGCACATCCCATTTGTCTTTCTAAATGAGGATTAATCACCTTCGCCTGTGTCCACTTTCTTGATTATCTTCTTTAGGTGTGTAGATTTCATTATG